TTTCCCACGACTCAATATTAACATCGCAGCCTTGCGCCGGCCGCCGAGAACGGCCTCGCCAACGTCAACCTGCACCTTGGCCTGCCCAACGCCCACATCACGGGTAACGTCGACGTCGAGCTGAACGCCAACTTCATCCTCGAGCCCACCGTCATTATCAACCTTGGCGGCGTGGAGGCCTACATCGAGCTCGATGTCAAGGCCGACGCCAAGGTCTTTGAGGCCGCCGAGCTCGTCACCTCCGGCAAGCTCTCCATCGACATCCCCGGCCTGCTCGACGTGGAGGCCGGTCTGGCCCTCGCCCTCGACCTTGTCATCTGCCTCGACGCTGCCATTGATCTGTCTGCCGGTTTCTACGTCAACTTCCCCCAGGGCTCCTTCATCGAGGTCAACGTCCTCACCTCCAAGGTCGTCCGCCACCAGCTCGACGACCTCAACGCTCGCACGCTGCCCCTGACGCTCGGCGCCGATGTCGACCTGAACGTCGACGTCGAGCTCGAGGTCGGCCTGCGTCTGCGCACGGAGCTCGGCATTGACGCCAACGTCGACCCTCTCGGCATCCCGCTGCTGTCGGCCGGTGCCGAGGTCGCCGTCTGGATCAACCTGTTCGACTACACCTCCGTCATCATTGGCCACCCCTCCCACCCCCGCCCCCCTTCGTGCGCCAACAACGCCGTCACCGAGGCCTTTGCCCTGGACGTCGGCATCATTGTCGCCCTCGACGTCGACGTCCTCGACATTGTCGACTTGGACCTGGCGCCCACCATTTCCGTCACCCTGGCCTCGGCTCCCATTGCCACCAACTGCATTCCCCCGTGCGCCGGCTGCCAGCACTCGGCGTCGTCCTCTGCGGCCACCTCGACCGTCACCGCCACCTCTGTGCCTGCGTCGTCTGCCGGCGCTAGCTCTCTGCCTGCGTCGTCCACCGGTGCCAGCACCGCCACCCACATCTCGTCCGGCGCCACCACGGTGACCTCGACCGACAACGCCGCCTCGTCCTCGTATACCAAGACCGTCGTCTCGCACTCGGGCAGCACCGTGACCAAGACTCTGAGCAATGGCAGCGGCGCCTCGTCCACCGGCAGCGCCGGCCCCATCTCCTCGGCCACCGTCAAGGGACCCCAGAGCCTGACCACCTCGACGTACTTTGAGACCAGCACCGTCACCATCACCTCGTGCGCGGCCTCCGTCGTCAACTGCCCGGCCTCGTACACCCAGAAGGTGGTGACGGAGATTGTCGTCGCCAAGACCACCGTCTGCCCTGTCGCTGCCGCCTCCTCCGCCGCCTACTGGCGCGGCAACGCCACCGTCAGCACTGCCGCCGCCACCACCACCCACGGCCCCGTTGTCGTGACGGTCCCGGCCAAGTGCTCCAACACCGTCACCTTCTCGACGATCCCGGCCTCGTCCGCGACCTCCAACACCTTCACCGCGCCCACGAGCGTCTCGGTCGTCGGCACTGTGACCCTGACGGGCGCCAAGCAGGCCACGGTCACCCCCACGGCGGTCGCCGCGCCCACCGTTGCTTCCACGGGCGGCTCGAAGCTCATCACGGCCCAGCCGTCGGCCTCCAAGCCGGGCTACAGCTCGCCCTCCAACCTGCCCGTGACGGCTGCCGCCGCCGGTGTCAGCGCCACGCACATCAACGCCCTCCTGGCCCTGGTTGCCGGTATTGTGCTGGCTCTGTAACGGTCTGGACACTTGGGGCATGGCAAGGCTAGGTCGCACGTCGTCATGATGCTTCGTTTTTTGAAAAATCATTTTCTGTTTTGAAAAATGCGTTGGGAGTTTATTAGGGACACACATCGACACCCACACTCACTCTCACACTCACATACCACTACCATTTCTTTGGGTTTGCTTTTGATGTTTTTTATCTTTTATATCTTGTACCTTTTTTTTACTACTATTGGTTCTGTATTGCCATTTTCTTCACTTCTCCATACTTTGTATACTATTTTTAGACCTCCTTTTTTTACATACAACCACTCGGGGACGACAACCACATTATTTTAACACTTCGGCTTGGAGCTCATCTATATACCAAAAAATACAAAATGGACTATTTTTCATTTCAATCGTTTTACCTCGACTGGTGATTTGTCGTTTGTAAATCCACTGCAGCCACTGTAACTGTCACTGATCAGTGAAGCCAACGTAACTGCCTATTCTGTCGACATTCCGCGCACTTACACATCGTGAAGGAAAAGTGGGTCCAAACGGGAGTACCCTCGTCGCGTTCAAAAACGGCAAGAGCAATCAAGGGACTGATCACGCGACTCAGCGAAGACACAAAATACAAAAGTAACAGTTACTTCTCAATTTCATTCACGCTCCTTAGACGGGTCGTTCGCTCTTCGCATCGTGCCCACCTCGTTTTTCGGAGTGCTCCCTTGGCTGGATGTGTACCTTGATGGCTGTAGACAACACCCGCTGGACACACAACCCGGATGGACAGTCATCAGGGGCACATCAACATCTGATGCAGGGAACAGCGGCGGCATGGGAGATGAATATATGTTCTGTAGAACCTACTAACTGATCATCGTTGCCTTGAATTTTATGTTGATTTTCTATAGACTTTTTTTCACTGGTGATTATTTTCATTGTATTTCTTTCGGCTTCAATTTAACATAAATTTTAAAATCAACAAACATCAAAATGGCAATCAACACAGAGACTGTGACCCAGTCCCTCCCTCCCACTCCTCCCCGTTCACCCCCAATCACAGAAGACGACATTTACGACGTCATTATTGTCGGCGGTGGCCCGGCCGGCCTTGCCATTGCTGCCCGCCTTCGCGAAGACACGCCGGCAGCCATCTTCACCGACGAAGAGCACCGCCGCTACACTTGGCTGCGAAAATATGGCAAACGCGTCTCCGTTCGCCACGTCAAGAAGAACAAGGACATTCCGCGGGGCCCGGGCTCGTCGTCGCCGCCCATGAAGATGGCCGTCCTCGACGCATCGTCCGACGCCTGGCTCGGCCGCTGGAACCGCCTCTTCGGCGCCTACGGCATTGCCTTCTTGCGCAGCCCCCTGCTTTGGCACGTCGACCCCCTGGACCGCGACTCGCTGCTGGCCCGCGCCCACGAGCAGGGCACGCCCGACCGCGACCTGTTTGACATTGGGGCCTGCGTCGGCAAGGAGATTAGCAAGCACTTGAAAAAGAAGAGGATGGGGCAGCCGTCTGGCGACAGCAGCAGCAACAGCAAGCGCACGACGCAGCATCGTCGCACCACCGCGCAGGGCCGCGGCGCCGGTCTCCAAGACGGCCAGCCCAACGTCGACATCAACGAGCGCGACCGCAACGACTACTTCACGCCGTCGCGGCAGCTGTTTGCCGACCACTGCAACGGCGTGCGCGACCGCTACGGCCTGGCCGGCGGCGTGCTGCGCCACGAAACGCTGCGCGCGCTCGACTACGGCGTCGTGCGAGGCGTGTCCCGCGACGACGGCGACGACGACGACCCCCTCTTCACGGTGACGACCGACAACGCGCGCCGGTACGCGCGCATTGTCGTGCTGGCCGTCGGCCCGGCCAATGCGGCCCGTGTGCCCGCCCACATCCCCGGACTCGCCGAGGCGGCGCACTGGCTTCGGGCGACCAACGCCAAAGCCGGCGCAGCCGCCACCGGCCTGGACGGCGAGACCTTGTATCCCCACGCCGGCCACACGTTCCACCTGCGCCAGGTGCCGGACCCGGCACTGGCGGCGCGCATCCAGGCCCAGGCCCCCACCAACGTGCTGGTCGTCGGCGGCGGCCTCACGTCGGTGCAGATCACCGACCTGCTTGTGCGCCGCGGCGTCACGCGCGTGTGGCACCTGATGCGCGGGCCCAACGTCGTGGTCAAGTACTTTGACGTCGACCTGCGCTGGATGGGCAAGTACCGCAACCGGGAGCAGGCGCGGTTCTGGTCGGCCGACACGGACGAGGAGCGCCTCGCGATTGTCCAGGACGCCCGCGGCGGCGGCAGCGTGACGCCGCACTTTAGCAAGGTGCTCCGGGGCCACGTCGCGTCCGGCAGGGTCCGGCTCCACACGGGCACGCAGGTGGCCCGCCTCGCGTTTTCGCCCGCGTCCGCCACCTGGGCGGTGACGACGACACCCCCGATTGCCGACCTCCCGCCCATGGACCACATCTACTTTGCCACCGGCATCGACACGGACGTGCGCCGTCTGCCGTACTTGCAGACGTTGCAGGACAAGTTCCCCATCGAGACGGTCGGTGGCTTCCCCTGCCTGACCGAGGACCTGCAGTGGGCGCCAGACGTGCCGCTGTTCTGCTCCGGCAAGCTGGCGATGCTGCGGATCGGCCCGGCCGCGCCCAACATTGGCGGCGTCAAGCTGGCGGCAGAGCGCATTGGCCTGGCCGTGGAGGAGCGGCTGCGGCACCGGAAGCGACGTGACGGCGAGGATGCCATGGAGGAGACGCCCGACGAGCAGATGGACTACTTTAGTGGAGTTGGCAGCAAGTACAAGTGTCTCGCGAGTGTTGGGGCGTGAGAGGGCATCGACAAGCCTGGATTTACACTCTTACGTTACATGATCACACAAGTGCAGTAGCACATGACAAGAGTTTAACAAAAGCCAGAGAGAGGCCGATTTTTCTTCTATGTCTAACTAGAAAGATCATAAAGACAAAAGACGTGTACTGGTCGAGGGACGGTAGGAAAGGAGATTCCAACTCCACCGCCCCAAATCTATCCGACATCGACATCACAACTACTCTAAAGAGGCGGGCGCGTATGTTCTAGATCGTACCAAGTAGAAAAAGAGAAATCGTTGCAAAAGACATGAAAAGCCAGACAGGAAATAGAAACAAACAAAAAAGACAAAAAGGAAAGGGCAAAAAGCATAAAGACCATTAATTTTTTTAAGACTCCGAAACATGAGGTAAAAAGACAGCAAGGAAACGCAGTGTGAACAAAGAAGCACTTTTGGCAGAAAAGGAAGAAAAACGCGGGACAATCGGTTTTGACAAAACGTCGTCCAAACGCTTAGTCCTCCTCGTCGGAAAAGACCTCCTCGCCACGCTTGCGGCGGGCCATACGCTCCTTCTTCTTCTTGCGGGCCTCGGCCGAGGTCAGCTTCGCCTTCTTCTTGGTGCCGGCAATCTTGTTGCCCATGGCATCGAACTTGTCCTCCTCGTCGGCGTCGTCGCCCTTGAGGCGGGGGCCAGAGCCCTGGCCCTGCACCCAGTTGTGGCCAGAGGGCGTCATCTTGCCGTCCAGGACGGCCCACACCTCCTCCGTCAGGTCCTTGGTGAACTCGGCAGAGTGAGAGATGATAATGACACCGCCCTCAAACTTCTTCAGGGCCTTGGACAGGGCGCCCAGAGAGTCGCGGTCCAGGTAGTTGGTGGGCTCGTCGAGGACGATCAGGTGAGGGCGCTGCCACGAGCAGGCGGCAAGGACGACCTTGACACGCTGGCCACCGGACAGACCGCGCATGCGCGAGTGCGAGATCAGCTCAGCATCCAGGCCGAAGTTGGCGCAGTGGGCCTCAATCTCCTTGCGCACCAGAGGGCGGAACTGACCCGAGGCCAGGGCCTCCTTCATGTCCACCTCGGCGACCATCTTCTGGTGGGAGGCCAGCAGCTCGTTGCGGGGCAGCCAGTCGTTGTCGGCGGACATCATGGGCGTCCAGCGCTCCTGCTTGGTGCCGACGTTCTCGCCCAGGGCGAACGAACACTCGTACTCGTACGAGTTCTTGAACTTGCGGCGCGAGTTGATGCCAATGACACGACGCTGGGTGTCGCCGATGCGGAAGACGCGGTTCATCGCCTGCTCGTCCTCCTCGGTGATGATCTTGTTGGCGCGGTCCATCGTCTCGCGATCCTCACCCGTGCGGAAACGCCACTGGATGTACTCGGAGGGGGTCTTGTCCAGGTGGTTGTCGATGTGGGCGAAGGCGTGCTGCTTGATGTACGCGATACGGATGTTCTCGTGCTGGTAAATCTCACCGGCGGTGGGGATCAGCTCGCCCGTCAGGACGTTCACGAGGGTGGACTTGCCGGCGCCGTTGGGGCCGATGACGGCAATACGCGAGCTCAGCGAGCACTGGAAGGTGATGTCCGTGATCTGGGGCTTGGGGGTGCCGGGGTACTGGAAGCTCATGTTGGTGGCACGCAGGATGGCCTTGGCCTTGGTCTTGACACCCTCGAGGAAGCCGGGCTCCGGGAAGGAGAACTCCATCTCGGAGGCACCCAGCTCGTAGTAGGACTTGGCCGACGGCACGCGGGCGACAAAGTCCTTGAGGTTGCCCCGGTAGCGCTTGAGCTTGAAGCGCTCGTAGTGGACAATGTGCTGGCACACGTTGTCGAGGAAGCCCGAGTCGTGGGACACGATGATGGACGTGCAGGGCGAGTTGATGAGGTAGTCCTCGAGCCACTTGACGTTCTTCACGTCCAGGTGGTTGGTAGGCTCGTCGAGCAGCAGAATGTCGGGGGCCTCGAAGACGGCACGGCACAGAGCCAGCTTCATCTTCCAACCACCGGACAGGGCCGTGATTTCGCCCTCCACCATCTGCTGGGTGAAGCCGAACTCGTTGAGCTGCTTGATGACGTCCTCCTTGGTGACGTCGACCTTGGCCTCGGACAGCTTCTTCATGGTCCAGTCAATGGTGGTCATCTCGGTGTCGGCGGAGTCCAGGTCGTGCTCGACGAAGACGGTCTTGACCTCGCTCTGCTTGGGGAAGCCCTCCACCTGCTCGTTGTTGATGGCGCGCATCAGGGTGGACTTGCCGGAACCGTTGGGACCGCACAGACCGTAGCGCTGGCCACGCTTCAGGCGCAGGTGGGTCTGGTTCAGCAGAATCTTGGCACCGTAGGCAAGGGAGAACGTGCAGTTGCACAGGTCCTCGCCCACCTCGTCGTCGGCCTCGCCCTCCTCCTCGGCGGCAGCGCCAGGAGACGCCTTCTTGCGGAGGCTCTCGACGACCTTCTCGGCCTCGGCGTCGCCGACAACGACGGCGACGTACGACTTCAGGTTGGTGACCCAGGTGGTGGGCTCAATGTCCTTCTCGTCGATGAGCTGGCCAGCAATGGCGGCAATGTAGGTCAGGACGGGGGCAAACTTGGCGTCGCTGCCCTTGGCGCCCAGGACGGACTTGAGGTGGCCCAGGACGATCTGGACGTCGCCGTGGTTGCTGGGCTCGGGGATCTTGCCGTCGACGACGTTGCCGACACGGGTGATGGTGTCCAGGGCCTGGCGGGTCTTCTCACGGGCCTCGGGGTCGGCCAGGGTCTCGTAGTTCTTCTGCAGACCGGGCATCATCTTGGGCAGGAAAGGAGCGACGATGTTCGGGTCGTCGACGAGCTTGCACATGTTGTCGACAATGACAGCCGACTTGCGCTTGATGGCGGTGTCGCGCTCAGCAAGACCACGGTCCAGCAGGGGGACCATCAGGGCCAGGGTGGGCTCCTGCACCTCCGTGACGAAAGTGGTGGCACCCAGCAGGTGGACCGTCTCGGGGACGTTCTCGGGCTTGGCCACACACTTGATCAGCTCGGGGATGAACTTCTCAATATCCTTGTTGACGATCAGGGAGCAGACAACCTCCATGGTCTTGTAGGCACGGGTGGAGACCTCCTTCTTGGTCACCCACATGGCCTCGGAGACGGCCGGGATCAGCTCAGGGACACGAGTGGACATCTGGGCCTGAGCAGTGCGGATCAGGGTGTCAATGAAGTCGAGGGCGAGCAGGCGCTCGGGGAACTTCTGGGCGTTGCGCAGCGACTCAATGACGCTGGGCAGGGCCGCCTTGACGGCGTTGGGGGACAGAGCCTCGGCGATCGCCAGACCAGCGGCGATGGCAGCGGTCTTGACGCTGGTGATCTTGTCACCGGCAGACGCCAGGACAGCGGGCAGGAGAACAATCAGGAAGGGCTCGACGTTGGCCGACACCTCAGCGTGCTGGGCAATGGCCTGTATGGCGGTCAGAGCCTTCTCGCGGACAGTAGCATCCTTCTTGTTGGCGAGCTGCTTGGACAGAGCGTCAATGGTCCTGAAATCACGTGTTAGTGAAAGAGTTCATTCGACGATTAAGACGGAAAACGGAAAATGCTCGCAGAAAAGGAAAGAGCCAAAATGTCGTTGCAAAATTTCCAGGAAACTGCCACCGACCCATCCCATCCGCAACCCATCAATCGCAAAACCAGCTTCAAAATACAGATCGAGATCCGTAGCCCTGCCTAGGAAGGCGGAATCGGAATCTCTGCAGCTCCGCAAATGAGCACTGGCCAATGACCGATTTGGCAAACGCCCGCAAAAAAATTTCTACCCTCGTAATTAAACGGGGCCTGGCTATTGCTGGAAGCGGTAGAAAAAACAAAGGCGGTGACCAAAAATGGACCAACTTTGCGGCGGCAGGTTGGTGGGGGGACACCTAGCAATTGGAGACGCAAGTGCTCTTGGTGGGGGGGGGGGCTTTTTGGCAGGAAAAAAAGGCAAGAACGACTGGCTCAAAAATTTTTCGGGTTCCTGGTTTTGGCGCGGGAAAGATCAAAGGGGCCGTCTGCACCAAAGCACCGACGCGAGGAAGGCGCGGTTGCAGGGTCCCCAAGACACGATCGCAGCAAAACGTAGGAAAATAGGAGCGCAGAAATCAGTGCAGCAGACATGGAACGTACTTGGCGGGAACATCGAGGTTCTCGATGCGGCCGTTGATGAAGGTGGCAATCGCGTTGGACGACTCCTTGACCTCGGAAGCCTCCTTGGAGACGGTAAGGCCCTGCATGAGGTCGGCGAGGACCTTGTCGCTCTTGGCGTTCTCAGCTTTTGAGGCCATAGTAGCGGATTGTGTTGTATGAAGAGGAAGGAGAGTCGAAGAGGAGCGGAGGACGGAGGGGTATCGTCGAAAAAGAAAACCGGCCGCGAGGAGCGTCTATCCCGGTGGTCTGAAAAACGAAGGAAAAAGGAAAATCGAAAACGACGTACCGCGCTCTGAGCAGAACGAGACGTCGAGGCTTTCGAGATGAAGGATATAGAGGTAAAATAGAGAGAAGAGAGGGGGATGAGAGGGGAAAGAAAGCAACAGAAAGGAAAAAGGAGAAGTGGGAAAGGGAAAAGAGATGCGAGGGGGGATAAAAAAAAGTGGACGGGTGCAAGAATATTTATGGCGGATGTAGATAAGGCTTCGATGGCGAACACTGTGCTGGAGGGGCGTGGGAGTACGGGGCAACAGGGACGAAAGGGCTGGGGGCCAGCGGGATGGAAGAGAGCAGGAACAGGGCCTTTGCGGTGAGCTGGAGGCGAGAAAGGAGACAACTGGGCGACGAGAAAAAGTTTGCAGCAAAGGGCAGAAAAAACTTTTTTGTGGGTCTTTGCCCCAAGAACAGCCAGCAAGATCCCGAGAAATTCAGAGGCAGGCGCCAGCGTAGGGGACTGGCGGGCTGGAGGGGTAAAAATTTCAGTGTGAAAAGGTTTTTGCATGAGGATCCCGCCCTCACCGCCCTCCCGAATTGCCGGATTGGGACTAGGTCCGTATCTGATAGAGGGAAAGAGATAAGGGCCGTTACACTGTACGGCGTACTGTGCCGGACATATTTACGACGTATTACCGACTGCTCGAAGGCGAACGTGTTCTTTGCCTCCCTCCACGGAAACTCAGCCAAAGCTGGGCTCTGGGGTACATTCGCGAGATGTGTTGTATACAGTTTGCCCATTGCATCCTCTGATGTTTGCAAAGGCTGTTTTGCCGACCATATTCGCACGTCTATTAGAGAGGCAGTTGGACAGTTGGACAGTTGGCCTGCTAATACGGAGTGCTGTTGAAACTAAACAGCTCCTTCCAATTTGCCGTGTTAGACTGCTGCTTCCTAGTTATCCGCTTTTTTATTTTTTTATTTTTTTGTTGGGAAGTATCGCCGGGCTGTCTTTTCGACTAGAGCAGGGCCCTTTCAAAAGACGGCAAAAAGAATTTGAAGGAAAAGTAGATTCGTATGAAAAATGAAAAGAAAAACTAGTGTTAGACGTGGCAGCCTGCGTCTTATCATCGCCGGCGCTATGCCTAAAAGAAGAGCGTAAGATACCCGTAACGGGGCTGCCACGCTACCTGTGAGAGCTGTAATTTACAGCGGATTTAGGGGACTTTTTAACGCCTCGCCAGCCAGAAAATTGGCAGGAACAAAAGACAAAGGACACGACGCAGAACTCCACGACGGCCTTGTCCGCGTACACCGATGCTCACGTCCATGTCACTAACCGCAGCTGAGATTCGAAATTGGGTTGCAATAATACGTCTGTTATCTTTCAATCAGCAGCCCGTCAGCAATCCTTTACCCCGTAAGACTCCGTATACGTGAAAATGGCGGGATGAGAGATAACCGGAAATCTGGAACTCCTGCCGCTTTCAGCTGGCAAGAGATATATGGGAGTCTCGGGCGGTAAATGAATACGATGTAAGACGATGGAAGACACCAATAACAAGAAACGAGCACCCCCAAAGAAGGGTGGACAAAATGGCGGGATCCAAGGCAAATTACAACAAGGGAGAACGAACACAAAATGAAAGCAGCCAACGGCATCGTTCGCGCTAGACATGTGAACCCGTCCAAAGCCAGCCCGGAGCACTTTTTCGTTTTCCGAGTTATTACCTACGCCTATGACAGCAAAACGAGGCGTGCGGTAGTTCGACGTACAGTGCGAGCACTAAAAAAACTGGCAGAGGCAGCCACTCGGAGCGCCATGTGCCACCACGGGCTGTCCGAGAGCATTTCGGATATTCTTATTTTCTGCCGTGGCATCTCAAAACATACCGCGATATCGTTGCAGTGGTGCACGGGACTGGTCTGCACTGTTGAATACGTATGGAGCATGACGTCGTACGCCAGGAGTTGCAGACTTTACGCTGGGCGTGTCTTTTGCACTGGACACTGCATCATGGTGGCTGGGGCTCGTCGAAACCGCACCACATCCAGAGTCAAGAATGTTCGTCGTGCCTGGCCGCCATACCGAATGCACGTCACAACCCCGGATTTCCCCTTACTCTTGCCGCATCTCACCGTAGTTCCCCAGAGACCAAAGCCAGCCCGGCAAGGTCCCTGGTCAGATAACGCCATGCAGCTGCTCCGTGCACATTGGCGGTCTCCTTCCCCGGTCCCTTTTATCGCAACTCCTTATCAGGGCGTGTCTTTTTTTTTTTTTTTTGCGGGGGCGGGAACGGCGGGGACAGCGGAGCCCACTGGCAGATTCGCTTGGCTTCTTGACCGCTCGACAAGTGTCCGTTGTAATAACGACGAGGCAGGGGAAAACGAAGAACCGGCGGCCGTTCGACAAGAGCGAGTCGATGCATAGCAGAGCAAGGCACTAACGTTGGCCTGCTATGTTTCCCACGTATTCCGTTTTGGCCATTCTGTCTCTGTTCTCGGTTCGGCCCCTGTGTCGTCTTTTGGGTCTTTCCTTTGGGCACGGAAGGGGTAAGGATAGGTACACGGTGAGCAAGGTTCGCGCGGGTTGCGAGGCAGATGGATAGCTGAGTGAGTCGTCTGGTCCATATCTCGTCTAGCTAGCGACTCTTCTCGGCTTGACAACCTAGCGGAAAAGTTTTGTCTACACTCTCCCAAATGGTTAGCCTTGCTCATTCGTCTTAAGAATGGTGCCGAAAGGTGTCCTTCTGTGACTGTGTTTGTGATGGTACCAGAGCGTCGGGCGTGTAAGTATTGGTCATACGCCGTCTCGTAGGTTCGTTTGTGGCATCATAAATGCATCATCATGCATTTCTTCGCTTTTCCTGCCGATTCATCGTGGCCGCACAAAAATGATTGTTCGAGTGCGAGATCACGATCAATGTAACTGGCCAACAAAGCGCCTCACACAATCATCTGCACGTGACATGTCACATGAATTAAACAACCATAAGTGCACGTGATATATCACGCCAAATTCCGTGTAAGTGAGTGGGTACCAATGAGCAGGCAACTTTCGCCCGAGTTTAACTATGAGGAAGGAAAGTAAGAATAAAATTAAATCAACTAAAACAACATTGATATCCGAGGTTGTTGGTTGACCTAGGTATATTTGAAAATAATTGCTCGCAACTTACCCCCAAGGTGCAACTGTTCCTATTTTCCCATTCCAAACTACCGAGAGAGGCTCCTAGAAGACGATGATTTGTCAGAGCGATCAAAGGCCTGTGATTTCAGGCACTTTGCAAAGCGGCCCGAAGTCAAGTTTAATGATTTTTTAAAAGTACATAAGGTATATCGACCTGTCGAGAATTTACCTATATCGGACATCTTCCTCACCGAAGGGCCCCGAGAAAGAAGCAACACAGCGGTGTAACACTTAAAACACCTAGCGACGAGTGAAGATACACATAACACTTTCTAGCAAGGGCCCTAGTTCCTGTAAACAAGCTAATGTATTTTATTATAAGAAATATAGTTCAAATAAGATGGTTCTTTTGTTGTAAAAGCCAAAATAAGGACTAGCTCCAGGAACACGCAAAATAGCCTCGTTTATATCTTTGAATACACCGCCCATTGAAGCCAATATTTCTTGGAACCTTATTCACTATATTTGCAGTAGAGATTGATAACACGTATACGTATTGAGAGCCTTCAAGGCATGCTGCAAAATGCGCACATTTTTTTTCCTTTCCAATGTACGAGGAGATACAGTTGACGACGAGTCTACCACGGGCCAAGATCACGTCCTTTTAGTTAACTGGACATATTGTGCAAATTACCACTGCAATTGATAGTATATGGCAGATTTTGAAAAGTCAGAGGGGGAGCGGTGGTCATGCAGAGTAGAAACAGTGGCTTCTGTCACATCCCCCACCCACTACAAAGGCGCACCTGCGCAACGACGAGTCATGGATACTTTACATAGTTTCTGTTTACAATCGGAGCTTATGGACGGTTCTGCTGTAGTCAGTGTCGCCAGATACATCGCCTCCAAGTAGATCTGTACTACGAAACGACAGTCGTGCCTCTACAGCCCCGAACAAGATGACCTTCATACGGCTCTGTATGCTTGTGCTCTTTATCTTACATGGTCAAGTTTGAGGCGTAAAAGGCTGAATAATGAAAGGCGGAAGCCTATACACAATCGGTATTGGGTTCATCGTGTCCAGCTGTTCATTCCAGACGAGACATTTGAAATTTCCAAAGGACATCGGGATGACAAAATGGTCTCTCGTTGTCATTGTTTGAACAGACTTGTAGAAAGCCATTCTATGCCCCCAAATCACTGCACGCAGCTCAAAGAAACGGCAAGAGGGGGGTTACTGTTCAGAAATCTCTGCTAGGTTGACTCACGAAGACTCATAGCATTATTATGGAGTTAGTAAAAGAGCGCGGTTTGCGGCACTTTTCTCGTTTGTGTACGTAACATTGCTTTTCGGATGCTGCGGGGGGCCGAAAGGAATGAGGTGTATTTAAGATGCGTGTGAGCATGATTTCCGTTCTCGTCAAGGACGCGACGGAACTGGACAAGACTCTGTCTAGACATTCTTTAAAGGATACCTGTACGATCAAGAGTAAAATAGCTCTTTCAAAGGTCACGGGAATCCCAAGTGTGGTGTATTGGTCTTGTCGGGGCCAAAAACCTGGAATAGCAGCGAGACAGTCTTCGCAGGAATGTGTTGTTCACAATCATCAGGATGCTGGGCTTGGTGAACGACATGATCGATGGTACGCGTTACGAGGAAGATCAACGCTCCCAAGGAGGCACAAGGAAGGCTGCAAGATTATACAAGGTGTTTTGTTCACTCATCAGTTTGCATAGGTGGTGTCAAAGTCAAGGATCATGGATAGATTTGTGTGCTATCATTAGAGACGCTTCATTTTCCCGGGAACGGTATCTAAAAAGATGGATACAATAAAAGAGGTAAAAAAAATTAAGAGTAGACCAAAAAATACGTGCCTAAATCAACTGCTGGGCATAACATAGTAGGCAAGAAGACAACGCAAAAGAGAATGAGAAAAAGAGAGAGAGTAAATAAATCCGAAAGGAACCCATTCAATATATACAAGAGCGCCGGTTGTGAGACAAGGAGATGGCATCAATATTAAAAGGAGGGTAAAAACGAATGCAGCATACCGCAAATGGCCGAATGACGTGGTCAAACATGCCTGCTGCCATCCGACGGGTAGTCTCTGCTGGCCGTGCGCGGCGAGAAGTCGCGGAAGACCTTCTCGTCGTCCGAGTCGTCGCCGTCGGTGCTGCTGGACTCGCTGCCGCTGACGTACTTGTCGTGCTGCTGCTCGTCGTGCTGGTGGCGCAGCAGCTCGCGCATGTGGGGGACGGGGCGCTGCAGCAGGCGGAGGCGGCGGCGCTTGGCGAAGACGATGGAGGCGACGCCGACGACGAGCAGGACGGGCAGGAGGTAGGGGAGGGCGTTGCGCAGCATGATGATGGCGGCGCCGTCAAAGGAGTGCCAGGCGGAGCTGCCGAGGTGGTCGAAGATGGGGGTGGAGACCTTGCCGTTGAGCTTGTGCATGTCGCGGTTGTCGTCGGGCCCGCGCAGGACCTTGTAGTCGCTGCGGTTGGCCTGGAGGGCGTGGATGGTGGAGGCAAAGTGGCAGCCGGTGCTGAACATGACGGTGGGGTAGGGCAGGCCCAGCCAGCGGTGGTTGTACGCCTTGAGGCTGTCGACAATGGCGCCGACCAGGGGGTTGTGGCGCTCGGCCATCATGAAGCCGCTCGAGAAGCCGACGGGCATGGCCTCGATGGCCACGAAGCCGAAGCGGCGCAGCGGGCCGAGGGCGCGCTTGCAGCGCAGGTCCATGTCGAGGACGGCGCCGCCGTACTCGTACAGGACCATGTAGCGCAGGGCGTCGACCTTCTGGATGAGGAAGGGATAGCTGTCCCAGGTGGCCTTGACCTCGGGAAACTTGTCGGCGACAAACGCGGCGGCGGTCTCGTCGGTCCAGTAGTGTGTCTCCCAGCCCTGGTGGAAGTCGAGGCAGCTCTGGCGGGTCTCGGTCCAGGCGGGCAGCGCGGGACGGGAGCCAAGCACGACGTGGTGCATGACCGGGGGCACGCGGTCGGGGTAGTCGAAGCCGGCCTCGGTCTGGGAGGCATTGTAGTCGGCAAAGGTGATGTCGAAGTTGTCAAGCGCCTGCGAAATGACAAATGCGGGTGCGTCTCTTGACCATACCATGGGCATATACGCGAGTGTCCAGGCTGTGTAGAGGATGTGTCGCGACAGAAACACGAAGACGACAAGGAAACCGGTCACAAGAAGGCCAAACCGTGACCGCAGCCGCCGCGGAAGGGGGCCGGTGGACAGCATTGTATGGTGGTGTGATAAGAAGGTGATGTAAGAAGACGGTTCGCGAGTGGAACGGTTGGATCGTTTGACGTGAGCACGTTCAAGTGCGGCAAACGGTTGCACGGGCCTGGCCGGACAGCAGCGGATACTGGAAGGGTAGTTTGACAGATGCTTGGCGGCAGATCTGGCGACAGACGAACGACGATGGTCGAAAATCAGGCACGCCGGACGACCAGAACGTCCCAAGCGCTAACAAGATATGCGGATTCGGGGCGTGACGGGACGAAGACGAAGACGAAGCCGGTCAGGATGTGTCGAAGTGATGTTGCACTGGTGCTGATGTGGCGACGATGAGCGACGAGCAGAAGTTGGTCGAGGGTGGACGTCGAACGTATGAATGAACATAAAAAGGGGTCGATGATGTAAAGGAAGGAGAAAAAACGTGCTGCCAAGGAACGGTTCGAAAATAAGAAATAAAACGGTTGGGATGGTGGCCTATGACAAAGAGGAACAGTGGCAAGGGAAAAAGGAAGTAAGGGAATAATAAAGAAGAAGCAAGCCAAGGGAAGTCAGGCGGTTCGAAAGAGGTGCGCAGATGAGTGCTTATCTGTCAGATTAAATTCCGGCCCGGCGAGGAAGAAAAGTCGATGGACGAAAACGTGGGTAGATGGGGAAAAGTAGACTGACAAAGTGTGCAAACAGGAGAGAATGAATGGCAGAAGCAATAAATAATGAGACAAGAAGGAATAAGAAAGAAGAAAAACGTCGCGAGCGGCACAGGGCCACGAGAAAGAAATACAGGTAAGCGTGGCGTGGAAGACGATGGACGATGGGATGGGGGCCACTCTTCGTAGGCTGAAAGAAAGCAGAGTGGTCTTTGCGCGAGAACAGTAGCATAATAAAAAATGGGACCGTTTGGGACACCAAAAATATACAAAGTTATAGCAGCGTGGAGTGCCAACAATGACAAGAAAAGAAATGGAATTTATCGAACAATACTGAGGACGGGAGCCTCAAAGCGCCGCGAGACTGCGGCTGGCGTTGAGTGATGGCCAGAGAGACCAAAAAAATATCACGCTATGCCCATACGTCGTACGGAGTACGGAGTACACACATACGAGAGAGACGAGAGACATGGGACATGGGTGGCAGTTAGGCCCTCCCCCCCGTGCTCAACCAGGGCTGGTGGCAACTCTCATTAGCACATTAGCACACTCTCCCGTCTTAGCCCCGTTTCTAGCACCGAAGAGTGAGCACAAAAACAGCGTTTCCAGCGAAGCACAGCAAAAAGGCTTGGCAAAAGCTTAAATTAGAGTGTGGAGAGGCTTGACCAAAAGGGGATCGGCAGTGGAGGCTGGTGGAGTCGGTTGGAGTCGAGGTCTGGAAGGGCCTGACAAAACAATGTGGTGAGACTGCGCAAAAAAGGAAAAGGAAAAAAAAAAAGGAAAAAAAAATTGCTGCCTGCCTGGTGTTTTATTCCCGTCGGTGACTGGCTCGCTGCAGCACCTGAGCTGCGCCTGAGCTGCGCCTGGCGGAGTTTCAACCCAATGTTGAACCGTATTACGGCGGACAAAGCAGCCAACCACAGCAGGGTGAAAAAGAAAAGAAATAAAGAAAATAGAGAAGAAAAAAAAATACGAAATTGGGTGCGAGGAAAACACACACATGGATCAGGCGATTCGCGCGTTTCGCGATTCGCATTGGTCGTCTTCGGGGATTCTTTTTTTCTTTTTGTCCTCTTGTCTTTTGCCCTTTTTGTTTGTCCCTATTCGATTGCTTTTTTTGTACGTTGTATGTTTGTCGCCAACACCACCAAATTCTATGGAGCGTTTTCATGTATATTTTGTACCGCTGGGCGCCGCGGTCACGAAAAAGGGACAACGCACACACGACCACAAAAGCAATTTGGAGTAGCGATCGCCGTGGGCTCTGACTGGCACGCTACCAACTACCGCAACTAGAGGGGGATTGTCAACGTACACGGCGATTATTGGTTCGTTTCCGTCGCCGAGTCAAATGCACTAACCGTCGCAATTACTTCTGCCCTTTTTCTGCTTTATTACAGCCCAGGATTAACAGCCCCAGGGATTAAGTGGCTGATCCATGCCCTGTAATTGTACTTGTAAAAAGGATAATTATTCCATTTATTTCTGTGATGTGTGCAGGTCGTTTCCTGTTTCCCTGTTTCGTGTCTATCTCAACAAAGCAATACGCCTGACGCCCTATATGCTAATACATGCTACTTTGCTACATTATTGCTCGTATTTCGGCTTCGTTCCCCCCCTCTTCGTGATCATAGTGCTGATCCTGTTCCTGGAGCTGCTGCTGCGGCTGCTGAAGGCACAATCTTTTTCAAATCGTTGAACCAGACATACCGGCTGACGACCATGTACAAGTGGCGATCCCAAGTGTACTGGCTGTTGTGGTTGCGAAACGCCTCGCGTGTCTGTTGGTAGCGGTGCCAGGAGTTGGCGACCAGCGCGCGGCTCGTGGCAAATGCAGACGTAGTCTCTGTTGCGCCCACGCGTGCAGGGTAGAAAAGGGCCGCTAGAATGCGCCAGGTAAAACGCAGCGCGGTCAGGGGGAGGTCGCCCAGAAACGTGTACTTGCGCCAGAGCGGCGCAGTGACGACCATGTATGCCACGGGCGTTTTTGAAGAGGGAGCAGAAGACGAGACGAGTTCACTAGTGTCATTGTTAGGTTTGCAGGCCCAGCACGTAATCTACAGTAAAACAAGCCATGGCCAGTAGTGGAAAAGGGGCGTGTAAAATGGCGGGCAGGACCACGGAAGCGGGAAGAGGGGATAAGGGAAAGGGACAATGGTTGGATGTGGATGAGAAGAATGCAACGGTGAAAGGCGGGAAAATGAAAAGAAAGGGCGAAAAAGAAAGGGTTCCTTACCGGACGGCAGCGCTCACGGCACGGTGGTTGATATGGCCAGACACACCACCTTCATCGAACGTGATGATCTATGACGGAACACACGTTAGAGCTCCGAGAAAGGAAAAAGAACTAGAAGCACAGAGCACAGCAGCACAAAGCACAAAGCACAAAAAAGAGGGGGAGGCAAAAAACATACCGCGTCAATGTTCCACTTGTCGATGTACTCCTGCACAACGGTCTGCAAGAGGGCGGTGTCCCACCATTTGGTAGGATTGTCTTGGAGGTCAGGATGGTCCAAGGCGAGGCAGCGTGCTGGGTCGATTTGTAGCGCCGTACACGATCCAACAAGTTCTTTTTTGCGCAGGTCGCCAATGCCATAGTTGTTTCCTTAGGACCGTGGTTGGTTATGTTAGAAGAAAAAAGGTGGGCCAAAGACGAAACTCGGGCTGCAAAAGGGCAAGGCACCACACCATCACAAGGGGGGCGCATGGACATGGTCAAAACTACTAAACAAAACTTACCGGTCGATATGGAAATGAGGCTGCCGTGCACGCCTCGGTTCCGGTCGAGGACGCCGAGTATGCTCGGGGCGAAAAAGAGGCACTCATCATCCGGATGCGCAGTGACAATCAGCAGATTCTTGGCGCCTTGAAGGTCCTCCGGCAGGAGCCGCACATCGCCGCCAACCAGGTAGGCAATGGTCCACTGCAGCAGCGGTGGAAACAGCACCAAGAACAAGGCGATCTGGGAGACGAGGCGCCAGGCACGGCGCGACAAGGAAAGCGAGCGGAACGAAGGGGCGTGCAGGCGTAGAGTGCCCAGCAGGCGCGTCACGCGGGGCGGCAGCAACATGACTGTATGTGTGAGGAGTGTGCGGAGTGTGAAGAGTGTGAGGAGCGCGGTGAGAGGAGAGGTACAGAAATGGGGAATGGGGTCAAGCGAAACACGAGGAAAAGTAGGTCATTGAACAATGCAAAACAGCCGGCAGCCAAAGCAAGGAAATAAAGGCGGCCGGTGGAGAGTGGACAGTGGACAGTGGACAGGTGGACTCGTGAGCCGCTGAGCCGCTGTGCTGATCTGGCAGACCTGGCGGTCTGGCTGGTGGAGAAGTGGAATGCACAAATGAGCAAACACAAAGTGATGAAGATCCAGGAGATTCGGAGTCAAAATGAGAAGCCGCCAAATGACTGCCAAGAGGATGACAAGACTAGACGGCCCAGGCAGCAGAATAAAAAGGGGGGAGTGCAAAGGAAGTGGGAAGCGACGAGGGAGCGACGAGGGAAGGGAGAAATCAAAAATAGCCAGAATTTGGAAGGGACGGGTGAAGACAACGCATGACAGGGAAAGAGCGAGTGGCAGTGAGGCGCTGCGAGGATAAGATACGATCGTTGCGAGATCTGCCAAAACGACCGTCGCGACTGGGGGCGACTGAAGCAGCGAACTTAGACGCGCCGGAAAGGCACCATGGTTTTGCTTCCAGTGACTGGCATGCAACAAAAGATCTCAGAACAGTGGCAGCCTGTTGAGTTGCCGCTTGTGCTCTTCAATCCGTCCGCGTGCCAAATTGGCACAGGAAGGGAAGGCGCAGGGAACAAGCAAAAGCACAGTGAGTGGTAATACCCCGTATTCCATAACGGAATGCTCCGTTCCCTTAAACCGCACTGAACAAAACCGTCGCTGAAAAAACTGGAGCGCCCCAATTGTCCAGAAACGGCTAGCTGCTGCGACTCCGGGCGTTCCGACCACTTCAAACACAATAGTACCGGCAGATTGGGCAGATTTTGGGTCGCGCCTGCCCTCCAGTTCAGTCGGTCTGCAGCTCGATTCCCGCTGGCCGTTGCAGCAGGCAAAGTAGGCAAGTGCGACGCACGACAACACGCCAGGGACGGAGTACGCCAGTGCGTGCTAGCGATGTTCCGAGATGCTATTCGTACAAGTGGTTCCTATGTCGTAATGTATTACTCTGCTTCCTCACTCCCATCGTGTCCAACCGCTGCAATCCGCCCCTACCATTTGGCCACATGCTCTCCTACCGCACAGGTCGAACTCTGTTTCGGCCTCGCCCCCCTGGGTGGTGGTCGGTCGCTGCGGGATCAACACAAAGCAATGCATGAAGAGGCAGTCCAACAACGCTGCGCGGAGATGCAAAACGCAAAGCTACGAAAAGCAGAAAAAGACTGCAAAGCCCCCGACGGGGCAATGGGGCAAACGTCGACCCGACCTCTCCTCTTGCTCTCAATGCTCTGTCTGAAGTGGTTGGCTCTCCGTCACGTTGATCCGAGAACTGTGCCAAGACGCGGATCAAGTCAATCACCGGCACTCTCGATGTGTTTTGTCGACCTGCTAAATCACTTCCACTGTATTGCTTGTCGACGTGCCGACTGCTCGCCCTTGTTGATCCTTCCGTCTCGCCGGATCCTTTCTGGTTTTGCTGTCTCACACCAATTCTTCCGCATCGTACCTCCTACCTCCGCGCTTTTGATTATCAACCATAGTTTTTGCTCTTCTGCCCGCACGATCGTCCAAACGGTTCGCCCAAACGGTTCGCCCAAACGGTTCGCCCAAACGACAGCCTAAACGAGATACCCTGTGGCCTCCCCGATCCTGCGAAATCCTGCTGTCTTATGCTTACTTGCCGTCACACCTTGCCAAGGCCAACCAACACCTGAACGGTCGGTCTACAGCGCATCACCGCATCTCAGCATCAGACCATCAGACCATCAGGACAGCGCCACTTGACACGGCGCCACACTCCCAGGTCTTTTCCATTCTACCGCCTTCTCAACCGCCGCATGCTCTCCCTCCATCCATCTCACCCTCGGCTCTTATCTCCAAGCCTGATTTGCAGGGCCCGTCTACTCATTTATGGCGTCCCGTACGGAGTAAGGTCCTACAAAGCCCTGGTCTTGCCACCTTCACGATAGTCTTGACTGGCATCCTGGCATCCTGGCATCCTGGCATCCTTCTTATTTGCTCCTCTGAGTCTTCCTTTTGCTCTTGCTTTTTCTATTTCCTGTGTCTGAATTAGCCTGAAATTGGCTTCGCCGCGCTCGACGTTGTCCACCCGGAGAAGTCTTTATGTCTCTGTTTCCATCCACACCTTTTTCTTCTTCTCACACTCTCGCCCTCTCGCCCTCTTATTTCACGCAATTCCTTTCGGCCCCGTCGTATTATCGTTCCCGTCGTACCCCCTTTCCCCCGGCCCAAAATATCCCTGCACAAGACAAGCTTTTTCCTTTCGGCTCGCATGCTCTCTCACCCTTCTTGTTCATGTTTCCTTTTTCTATTTACCTGTCTTTCGTTCTTTGTGTCCCCTCCCTCCCCCCCCCCCCCTAACTTGTAATTACCACGTACAAAGTTCAGAACATTCGACTCGCCTTGGGTGTTCGCGCGCCCTCCGCTGGTCTGCCTCAACGTTTACATTCTCTCTCCTAAAATTTTAATTATCTGTGTGTCCTTTTCCTCGATCCAAAAGTGCCTCTTTCACCGAGGCGAAGCTTTTCTGCCCTACGAGACCGACAGGGGTGCTGCCGCTACTGAAACGAAGAACCGCAGCACCACAAAAAAAAACACAAACCGTAAAACTAGCGCAGGCTTGTCATGCTCCACACCCTCCTCATCCCTGCTCTGCCCAATCATTTTTTTCAGTCTCCATAGCTCACGTTTCCTCGACTTGTTCAGTGCACTGCATTCTATTCCTCTTCAGGGAGTATTTACATTGGCTCCTTCATTCACTTTTCCGCTATTTCACCTGTTTTCTTTTCTGGCTGTTGTCTTCTCATTTTCTACGGAGTGTTTACGCCGTGCAGAGCACTCCTGTCGCCTTTTGGATTATTTCTACCGTGTCATTGCTGCTCGCGCTCGCCATCCCTTTTTGGAAGTCCCCGGTTTTCTCAAGCTCCCCCGTTTCTCACAACCGTATCAAGTTGGAATCCTTATTTTGGATCTGTCTTCGCTCTCATCGTTTATTGCCTATACGGCGGTACTACTTACAGCGTGCTTTATCCGTCCTTTCTGGTTGTGCTTTGTGCTTTTCCCGGCTGCTCTCTTTCATTTCGTTTCTCTTCATTTTTTTTTAAAAATTGTATTTTATTTTCCGAAACCGAACAAATTGAGCCACACCTCCCTCCCAGACTTGATCCGAAAATCATAGGGACGAGGAGAAAAGACGTCTTGCGACATCACACAGCAGAAAGGCATCGTCAACTCTTGACAACTCCCCACGCCAGATTCCCGGGCATCTTTGCCCGCCGGCCACTCTCCGCCATGGCGCCATCACCGAGCTTAACCAGCACATCGCCGGCAGCATGGCCACGGGCGGCATCGCCCGGTTACCGGCCAGCACGATTCTTGCGCGGCGCCACGTCGATACAGACGATGTCGCAGATCTTCGTACGTAACACAGCCGTCTCTGGCCTCTGGTGCTCTGGTTGAAATATGGACAGGCGTATTGACATTCCCAGCTTGTTCTTCAAAACTCAGCTCTGATAATGGTAGGTTGTCCAATATGCCGCTGATATTGGCTTGGCATGTCTTTAACCATGTGGCAGGTTATGCACCACTCACGCGCCAAACCGGTGTCTGGCCAGCGCCGCTACTTTATCTCGACGGCCATGATGTTTGTCGAGTTGATCAAGCTGGTCATCAGTCTGGCAATCGACTGCCACGCACAGATAAAGGCACAAAAAGCAGCAGCCGCAGCAGCAGCAGCATCAGCAGCCAACGGTGATGATTCAAAAGAACGACCAGCGTTGCCCGCCAACCCCTATTCGCCCGCCAACATCGCGTCCATCCTCTATCAGTCGCTCTTCGCGTCCGGGTCGTGGATGCTGATTCTGCCGGCTGGGCTCTATGCGCTGCAGACGCATCTCGTCTACGTGGCCGTCAGCAACATGGAGACGGTGCCTTTCCAGGTAACCTACCAGCTCAAGATCTTGACGACGGTGCTCTTCAGCATTGTGATGCTGCAGCGCGTCATCAGCCCAAAACAGTGGCTCGCACTGGTGCTTCTCACGCTGGGCGTGGCCATTGTGCAAGTGGCCGAAACGTCAGGCGGCCCGGGCGCAAAGACAATAGCGTCTGCGTCTGCGTCTGCATCTGCCCCGCCGTCCTCTTTTTCTCTCGCCAGCCTAATGGGCTGGTTTGCCGGGGGCCGGACAGACAGCGCAAACAACACACGAGTCACGACAGCATCACCGAAGCTAGTCCACCCAATGAACACCACCAAGGGCTTCTTCGCCGCCATTGTCGCGTCCTTCATCTCGGGCTTCACGGGCGTCTACTTTGAAAAGCTCATCAAGGAGTCGCGCGTGTCCGTGTCCCTGTGGACGCGGAACGCCCAGCTCTCCTTCTTCAGCCTCTTCCCCATCCTGCTGCTGGGCGTCTGGTGCAAGGACGGCGCCGCCATCGCGCAGCACGGATTCTTCGTCGGCTACGGCCCGACGGTGTGGGCGACCATTGGCCTGCAGGCGCTCGGCGGCATTCTGGTGGCCATATGCATTACCTACGCCGACAACGTGGCCAAGAACCTGGCGGCCAGTTTCAGCATCGTGGTCAGCTACATGGCCAACGCGGTGCTGTTTGGCGAGCCCATGACGCTGCAGTCTACGCTCGGCGTTTCGACGGTGCTGTTCTCTCTGTACCTGTACCAGAGCCGCAGCAGCCGACCGCCACCGGATTCTCCGCTACTGCCGGTCGACCGGGACGGCCTTGTCGACCTGCGGTCCAAGGAGATGCGCGAAAAGTAGGCGGGCGGATTCAAAAACCACACAAAAATATTCCCAATATAGAAACACACATCCAAAGATAGAAATAAGCGCGATCAATGATACCCTCCATTTTCTGCTCTTCAA